AAATATGGTAACGATTTGCTTCCATATCAGCCACCCTTTAGCATACATTGGTTATCGCCTGGCCACCCTTATAAAAAGTTTCTGGCTACGCCTCTGTTTGTATTGTTTGCTTCAGTGCAGGTTCGATAAACTGTCCCAGAAAGCTGCAGAACCTGTTGGGCTGGAATGAAGCCATGTGGCTCCGCCCCTTTAGACTGTGGCGCGTATCAGCAGCAGCAGCAGCAGCGCCTGCCAGTAGGTCCCTCCCTCCCTCCGTCTCTGCGCATAAGTATACGCAGCCTGCTATCCCAGGCATGGATGTCGGTTGCAGCGAGTCATGGCGGTGCGACATTATACTCTCGATTTCAGCCTCTCTACACCAGGTACAATACTTTCAAACACCCTGAATGTAGCGTGTTTATTCAGCTCTCTGACCCGGCATCCAGGCTGCTAGCTAAGCTAGCTGAACAGCTAACATTAACCTGCTAGTTTCTAATTGCCCTTCAAAACTGCAGGGTTGTTACTGATTGGACGGAATAAAAGTCGAGCATATGCGGTAAATTGGGCTGGAAGCTTAAAGTTATTGAAGGAACGCATTTTTAATTCGGTATTCTTGTAATTGTGATGCAACTAAACGTTTTTGGAGCAATTTGTCGCAAATAGCTCGCTGCTTGTCTTGCTAACAATGTGAATAAAGCATGTTAAACTCAGTGCTGTCGCATAGGAAGTAGCTTATTTTCCGCCATTTTTGTAGTTTTTTATCTAGTCCTGACTGAGCATAATAAAACACATTTTATAGAATTTGAATTGGCACCAGTATCATAAAACTGAACAGTATTACAAATTAGGCTTTTATTTGCATTTTGTTGGGGGATTACTGTAGGATGACTTTAATGTTACTAACGTTCCAAATTTAGATAAGTGAATTAAAGTGAACTTTATTTTAGATAGTAGAGTTTTTAGCCATTGTTGCACATAAAATTTTCCAGATTAATTAAATATTATTTGAAAAAAATTTTTAGCCACAAATTAACACCACCAAATCTATTTTTTTGATGTCCAGAAATCTATCTGTTTATTAAATTTATTAGTTTGGTCATCACTGATGCAGATGTTGCCTTATTAATATGTTATTGTTGCATACTGTTGCATTGTTAATCATTTGTCCTTTGCTGTTTGTTTCCAGTTGACACGGCCTCGGTAGTTCCAGGTCTACTGTGCATATTTCATGAGCAGGAGCTGACAGAGACGATCCATGATACAAATGGACATGGGTATCTGGCTACATTTGTTGGCAAAAACGGGCGGTAAGCGAAAGAAAAACCATGAAAAGATCTAAATTCTTTAAGATTAAAAGCTTGATTTTTAATATTTTCCATATAATAGAGTATTGTAGTAGGGGTGTAAATCAACCCATCATGGTGATTCGATTCAGTATCGATTTCCTGACCCAACGATTTGATTATTTTCGATACTCAAGAATACACCACAATCCGATTCGATTAATTGGTTAATTTTTTTTTTTTACCTAGGCTAGACAATGTTTCAAATTTAAAATAAATCGATAAAAGCTGTAATATAGTTATGCATTTTGTTTGAGAAACAACAGCAAATAACAGAAGTAGAAAAGTTGTACTCCACCTAGGCCTATTAAAACCTCATTCACTGAAAAATAATAATGCCCCTGCGTTATAGATTCTGAAAGGCTTTGCATCAAAAAAAAATACTGCACAAAATCAGTCCAATGGGTGCAATGCAATACCTCGGCTCCAGAGTGTCGACGTCCCCGCCCCCTCCGCAGACACTCCGCTGCACCTCTCCCAAACTGTAGCTGACCGCAGACAGGACGCTGACTTGTTTTGGTTAATGACCGAAATTGGGGAAAACAACTTGTGAAGTTTGACCAGCTAGAAGAGCAAGGTGCATGAGAACGCTGGGACCCTTTTTTTTTGGCCCTCATGTCGCTCCGTTGTCGGACAAACTCGCCCCCACTTCCTCACCGCCTCAGCCGTATCTATACCCACAGCACAGACCGCTTCAATATTGGGCATAGATCAAAAATGTCTGCTTCAAGCTCACTGCGACACACTGCTGCAGGAGTATAACCAGGAAGCGTGGTAGGAGGGCAAAAATAGGTTTAGCGCCACCGCAGCACGGGAGTGAGAATTGCGCCCAGGAGCAAATGGATAAAAATAGACGAGAGGGGGAGAAATCGATACTCTTGTGGACGCGTCGATGCATCGGATCGTCGGCTGTTGGATCAATGGATCGATACAAAACGATTATTATTTACACCCCTAATTTCTAGTAGGGATGGGTGCTATATGCATTGAAATGCATTGATGTTGGCCCATTGTATGTTTTTAAACCTATCGGTATCAGTCTCATAATTAGAATTAGGCTGACACTAATGGCCACTATTTATTTCCATGCTGTGGCCATTTGTGTGTGTTTCTGGAAGGACTTGGTCATGTGATGGTTCTGTAGAGCGTGATTGTGGGATGTGTAACCAGAGCAGAGAGGTCATGTGAGCAGTGTGGTTCTTTGTTTCATGGTGTTTGAAATTGTGTAAATATAATATCTATTATTGATGATAACAGAAATGTTAATGTCTGATATTGGTAGTGGCACAAATTGTCATAATGATGCATCCTTAATTTGCCACTGGCAGTTAAGGATGCATTGATGTGACTATGGCAAATTACCAGCCATAGTTTGGAACCGATGAAGCGGAACGACTCGTGAATTAATGTTTGCCATGGATGTAGAAGAGGAAACCATAAGGTTTTCAGGTGGGATTTAAATTCTTTTTTTCTGACAGGGAGTATCTTGATTCAAATAATTTCTTGCTCTAAGCTGGTGCTGGTTCATACTTCTAAGAACTTTCTTGGCTCTTGCCCTTCAATGCTGGTGCTAATCTAGCATCAGTTCCCTGCTGGAATAGAAAAAAGGAAATGCTTTCTCCAAGGGCTAAAGGTGTACTCCTTAGAAACAATAGCCAATCCTAATATTGTAAGCGTCCTTGTTTATTTTAGTTTTGAATCAGTCCAGTTTCAAATCAAGAGACCGCATAAAGAGGACTAAATCAAAAAATACATTTCTGATGAGAATCGGGACAAGTTGACAGTGTTTTATCTTCATCCATAAGAGTTTAATATACAGTAGCCAAATTAAGCCTGCTGAGGCCTTCAATGCTTGTGCCGATATAGTTTTTATTACTTTGTGTTTCTATGCTCTTATTTGGTGTCATCTAGTAGCCAAACGAAAGAAAGAAAGCAGAACTGCTTGACCTGCTTTATAAACACTGCCCAAGTATTGAGTCGTTTGACTGCTTTGTATGTTTTAGTTTGAATGAAAGAAACATTGCTATATTTCTGATTAATGATTTTGCATCCATTTAAAATTAAGGAGTTTCTTATGCATGAACTGAATATCTGAGTAGGATCCAAAGTTAGGACAATTTGCCTTTGCTTTGGAGGTTTTATGATATGAACTTTCAAATTATTGTTACCTGGGGAAAGAAACCCGTTTGTTTGTTAGAAAGGAGATGGGGCAATTCATGGAGTATCATTGCTACAATAAATGTTTTTATAACTGTGGATCATTCAATCATTCTTTCGCAGGCTTGTCATTCTGCGTGTGCACTCCCATGGGTTGGTCACCATTGATCTGCAGTGTCACGAAGACGATAACATTGCACAATTAGACAATGTAAGTGATCAGATCAAAAAAAAAGAAGCACATTTCTTTAATCTTTAAAGTGCAACATAATTTGAACAGAAATTTTCTCAATTCCCTCCACAGCTTTTAAATGCACTGGAAAAGAAGCTAAAAGCTCTGCTAAATGGCAGTATTACAAGGATTAAAAGGTAAGGATCCTGGTTCTTGTGATACTTCTATCCTGGGTGTTCAAAGGTTTTATCATTAAAGGAATCCACAACTTGTTGAGCATCTTTGTGTAAATATGTTTTAATATTCCTATTGATTTAAAAATTAAAGTTTGTGATGTGTAAAAACTCATAACTACCTCAAAAATGACACATTCTTCGGTTTCACCCAAAGATGATGCCAGTTTCTTCACCTTTGCGATGCATGCTGGGTTGGTGACGTGGTTAGGTCTTAAAGGACTGGAACACACAGAATAAACACAAGAAGGCTAACAGTACTATAGTTTATTTTTTGTGTTTAAAAAAAAAATAAAAATTTTTTTTTGTGAATTTAGACAATGCCACACAGTGTCGCATTTTCAACGTTTTTTTTTTACCTGTTGATTTAAGAATGCATGTGATCGGCTTTTGATCTACTGTTTACTGCATTAACAGAAGCTAATTTTCAATAGAAATCAGTTAGGAAGATGAATGACTGTATAAAATTACAGTCAAGCATTTAAAATTAAAATTATTTATTTTTTTTAAGTACATGTCATGATGTCAGCTGAAAATCATTAGGATTTGGGATCACATAACTCTTTTCTAAAGCAGCATAAACAACAAGAAGTCTACATCCGGATGACGATATTATTAGATTTATGAAAACTAAACAGCTTGCAGTATTTTTACTGTAATGTGTTTGGATAGAAAATAGATTTTTCTAGAATCATTCACACCTCATTGTGAATCCCTTTAAGTAACATGTATCTTTTAATTCCCCTCCAGGCTTCCAGCGTTGGTGCGAGGAGCAAAAGTTGACCGATACTGGCCCACTGCTGATGGCAGACTGGTGGAATATGACATCGATGAAGTGGTTTATGAAGAAGATTCTGCTTACCAAAACATTAAGATATTACACTCACGGCAGTATGGAAATATCCTAGTGCTCGATGGAGATGTCAGTAAGTGTAGAAAATAGTTAGTACACCACAGACGAATCAGTGAGACGTTTGCTGTAGTTTTTTTGTATAAAGACTACAAACGAACACCATAAATTAGATCACATTTATTATTAAACACGTTTATAATTGGATAAATTTCCACATTACTGATAGCCACACACCTTGTAGCTTTACTTGTAGCTTAAAAACTGTTATCAGTTGTTAAAAAGATGTGATGTCGTTGCAGACCTTGCAGAAAGTGATTTAGCCTACACAAAAGCCATCACAGGGAATGGAAGAGAGAGCTATGCTGGAAAAGAGGTGCTGATATTAGGAGGGGGTGATGGAGGCATCCTCGCTGAGTTGGTCAAACAAAAGCCAAAGATGATCACCATGGTGGAGATATCCTTAAATGGCTTGTGTTTGTGTATTTATTTTTACACTTTCTTATGAAGTACACCAACATATTGACCTCACGTTCCTTGACGAAGTGTCTACATCGACCAGAAGGTGATCGATGGGTGCAAGATGCACATGAGAAGGACTTGTGGCAATACCTTGGACAACCTGAGGGGTGATTGTTACCAAGTGAGTGTTTAATGGATATTAATATCTCTTAAAATGATACATTCTGTCTGCTGACATTTGGGATGCACAATGGAGGCTGGTATAAGAAGTCAAAGCAGCGATTCACGTTCAAGCTTTATTTGAAAAACTCGCCAATATAACTTGCGAGCGTCTGAACTTTCACTGAATGATTTTTTTTAGCAATCTGAGCTCCTCTTAGACTGCCAGATAAGTTAGAGTTGATGGCAATGAAACACTTATGAATCTTGCCTTATAGGACATATTTTTAGTTCTCAGATGTAGAATTTTATCTAGAGGGCTGTATGTGACCATATCTTTACAAGTTAATCCATCACTTCCTAATCTGCACTACCAAAGGAGTCTGCTATCTGATTCTAAACTACAGAGAAAGAGAATCTTTAATTTTGTTACAGTGCAGCGTTTTCAGTTGTTTACCAGGGTGCCAAACCTGGAAGTTATACATCTAGTGCCTCTAGTGGATACAATTTTGTTTCGTTTTAAAGCAAGCCTTTTTTGTGTAATTTATTTAAGACTGAGTATTAGGGCCAGGCTGAAGAAAGTTGTAAAGATGTGAGAAGAAAGTTGTAAAGATGCAAGAAGAAAGTTGTAATGATACGAGACATTTAACAAAAGAGAGAAATATGCGATGATACGAGAATAAAGCTGTAATTAGGGGTGTAAATCACACCCATCATGGTGATTCGATTCAGTATTCATTTCCTGACCCAACGATTTGATTATTTTCGATACTCAAGAATACTCCACGATTCGATTCAATTAATTGGTTTTTATTTTATTATTATTTTTTTAACACCTTACAGGCTAGACAATGTTTCAAATTTGAAATATATCAATGAAAGCTGTAATATCGTTATGCATTTTTTTTTTTTTTTTTTTTTTTTTTTTAGAAACAACTGCAAATAAGAGAAGTAGAAAAGTTGTACTCCACCTTGGCCTATTAAAACCTCATTCACTGAAAAATAATAAGCCTGCGTTATAGATTCTGAAAGGCTTTGCATCAAAAAAATACTGCACAAAATCGCCCCCTCCACAGACGCTCCGCTACACCTCTCCCAAATTGTAGCTGACAGCAGACAGTGCCGCAGACAGGAGGCCAGCTTGCTTTGTTTTTATGACCGAAATTGTGGAAAACAACTCGTGAAGTTTGACCCGCTAGAAGAACGAGCTGTGCGAGAACGCTGGGACCCTTTTTCCACCTGGATCTCCGCTCTTTTTGGCCCTCATGTCCCTCCATCGTCTGACTAAACTCGCCCTCACCGCCTCGGCCGTATCTAGACCCACAGTGTGTAGCACAGATTACACTTCAATATTGAGCATAAATCAAAAATTTCTGTCAAGCTTACTGCAACAAACTGCCTTAAAAGTATAACCAGGAAGCGAGGTAGGAGGGCAAAATAGGTTTAGCGCCACCGCAGCACGGGAGGGAGAATTGCGTCCTGGAGCAAATGGATAAACAATAAAATAGACCGGAGGAGAGAAATATGCAACAATACCAGAATAAAGTTGTATCGATACCAAAATAAAGTCATCATACCACAGCCAATTTTAGAAAGAAAGCTTTGAGATTGGACCAGCATATGACGGCAGACCAGCACCACCAAACGGCAACCTGAGTCCACTTTGACATACTGCCCAATTTGATGCTGGTGGGCTAAAAGTGTTATTTGTCACACCGATGCCAAGGTATAACTTCACATTATGCTCGACATTCTTCATTTAAGGGAAGGAAGTGCTTTTAAGAGTTGTCATGAAATACAACTTTTTTGTCTCCTAATATTACGACTTTATTCTCGTAATTTTATAACTTTATTTTCATTGCGACTTTATTCTCGTAATTTTATTGATTGATAGATCTCCTCTCTATCAAAAAGGTTGCAAATAGAATGTTAAGCATCAATCTGAAGGTGATCAGGAGAACAGTAGAGCTGAGGCTGGATATATTAATTCATCATTTTGTCACTTCTGTATAGAGGGTGTTGTATTGTCAGTTCTGTAATGAGCTATTTATGGTGCCTCATGAAGAAACATTTTTTCTGATATCTGAGACAAATTTTTATTAGTTGTGACCATGTTGTAATAGTTGTGGGAAAGACCACATAGAAATATTTGTCGAGCCTATGTCAGTGCTGTGTGTAACTTTGATGTAAAAACAGAGAAAATGTTCTTTAAATTTGCCAATTGCTGAGAAATATCAGTCATTTTATTTAGAACAATTTGCAACAAAACAAAAATACTCTAAATGTAATTGTTAA